CAGTGAGTCTGGTCACCGCTGCTCGGAGCAAGCGGACGGAACTGGTGTTGATGGCTCTGGGCGCAGAATCCCTGCCACACCTCAGTAGGGTCCAGGAACTCTAGAGCATTGCCAGTTGGGTTCTGGAGGGTCCCTCTGATGTTGTTTGCTCCTAGGAATTCTTCCAGAGAGAAGCAAAGTATTTTAGAATCTTGTGTTCTTAGCATGTGATACAGTGACTTCTTTCTTCAGAAAGCGGAGTTCTGTCCACTGTGAGCCTGGAGACGGAGAGCAGGAGCCCCAATGAAGTGGCTTGGGCCCCGGAGCTGCACAGAGCCTTGTGCCCCCGGGGAGGCCCCTGATGAGGCTGAACACCAGCTTCCTGTTGCTCTTCTGCACTCAGTTAGGAAATTGTATTGTTTTCAGGCCCCTTCCATTCAGAGACAGTAACTTCTTAAGAATTAGGCTGAATTCACCTTCTAAAAACTCATATGCAAGTTTGATAAATGCTAGAACAAAAGCCAGTGAAATGATATTATTTTAGGTTTATAAAATAGACTTGGAATTCATTTTTTTCATGACCTTGAAAAAACATTCTAGTGTTCACTTGAGTTTTGTCCTATTAAAGGGCTTTCAATTTGTGACCTTCTGAAAGGCATAAAAAAGGTTTTTGGTTCTCTTTCCACTTTCGTATACATGCATATATTTCTGTTTCCTCTGACTGGGTATATGCTCATCTGGGGTGTGGAATTGGTAGAGCTGGTTCGCCAAATGACTAGACTCTTTCATTAATTTATTTCCGTCAACATATGCCAAATTAAAGCAATTTTGTAAACAGTTCCCCTGCCTTGGATGGTATGAATTATCCCACAGTGCCGGTGTGGGAGGCACTTCCATTTGTGTGCCCCACTTGCCACAGCTGGAGAGAGGATCAACCTCGGTCTGTTTGGGGGTCCCACCCACAGGGGGCGCCTGGGGCTCTGTTGCTTGCTTAGTCTAAGGAGACTGGGAGGTTGTGGTGTTCTCAGGCACTTCCTTTCTCCCTGTGCACAGCTCGCCAGGGCCAGCCCACCATCTGTCTGGGCTCTGCTGTGCAGTGGGCTCTGCAATGGGACTTTGCTGTCCACCCATGACACCCTCCCAGCACCCGCCAGACATCCTGCAGCCAGCCCAGGCCCCACTTCTGGTACTGTGTGGGGGGCGTCCAGCCCCGGGCCCCACCTCGGGTACTGTGTGGGGGGCGTCCAGCCCTGACTGTCACTGTCCTTTTCCCACTCTTGCTCAGGTCCCAGTGCGTCTCTCACACACTCAGATGGCTCCTCCCCTCTGGGCTCCAATACATCCCCCTGTCAAACAGAATCAGCAAGCTGAAGCACATGAAATCCAGCCTCTATTTTGCTATGTTTGAGGGGAGGGAGTGGTTAAGTGCAAGAGAGAAACCTTTCATTTTTTTTCCCCTGCTGAGACAGCAGGAAGGAAACAAAAACAGAAACCAAGACTCCCCTCACTGCTTTTTTTCCACATCATCACTTTCTGCATGTTCCAAGTCTCCTCCTGCCCAGAGCCCTCTGGAAGATGCTCAGGGGCCAGCCTGCCTCCACTATGGTCCAGTGCTGTTTCTAGTGTTCATTTAGGAAGCACTCAACTGTCTTAATATTTTAGGATGTTCAGATAACAGTTCATTTTATTCTCATCTACTGGGATATGGGATATTGCCATCCCGCCCTTTAGAAAGTGAAGCCCGAGTCTCCCAGTCATCACAAGAGACTGATGGGGGACCCTCCTCCATCAGGGACAGGAAAGGCAGGGTTTTTAGAAGTATAGCTTTAAAGCGTGGAGTAAAAAGTTAGTGATGTTTATTCTTCATAATTCAAATAAGTTTCCTGATGTTCTAAGAAGTCTGTTTTCAAGAGTGAAAAAAACCTAAACATTTTTACTTGTAGTGTTTATGATGCTTATAATACATAAGAAATTGCATAATGTTTTTTTTTAGACAGGTGTGCAATGGGCTGAAAATGCAAAGTCCTAGCTCTCCAAGAACTGTTACTTCTTCATAAGACAAAATAATTAAAACTCATCTGACCTGATGGTAGTAGAAGGTCTGATACTTGCAGTGTTCTTCCCAGAAAGAGCCCAGATGGAAACATGCTGAGGCTGAGGCTGACAAATTTTCTCCCCGTGTTCCAAGCGTGATTCTAGAGAGCAGAGTTTTCATAGAGGAGTGAAGATGCTGTCGGCTTTTTAGAGTAATCCCTGCCTTCCAGCCGCCGTGTTATTTCTAGAGCTAGATAACCTGTTGGTTTCCTGATTCCTTCCAGGGCATGGGGGTGGCAGGCAGGATTTTCTTAGGCTTTGAGTGTAAAAGCATTAACATAATTTATTTTGAGGTGCTGACAGTTGAGTGTTTTAAGAAGAAAATTAGATTAACAAAGAAAAACAACCAATTCTTTGGTTTGAAGGGGAGGAAGACTATCCTCTACCCATGCTGGGTCCTTTCTGGCTGGGGTATGAAGTAAATTGACTCATGAGACCGAACAGCAGGAGAAAATCAAACAAAGCTTTATAACATGTATACATGGGAGAAACCAGGGAAACTGGGTTTCTCAACAAATGGCGGAGGTTTTCACCTTAAATAGCATATTCAGACAAAGGAGGATGTTGGGGGTGGGAAGGGAGACAGCTATGCCCGATGACCAGAAAGCACAGTAACAAGAGTATGCAGATTTAAGAGTTTCTAGAGATGAAGTCATCCCCCCTTCTTCCTGGTACAGAGAGGGAGTTACCTTCACCAGTGTAAATGTTTGGTAAACAGAATTTTGATAAGAATGGGCTTAGGAAGAACCCTCCCAGTCTATCACTTTTAGGTGTAAGTTTGGGGGAAGGTCAAAGTTTCTTTCAGAGAAAATAATCAAGGTAAAGAGACATATTTTGAGGTGGCGAATTTTGATCTCCCACAGGTTCCACACAGATTCAATCTTCCTTTTCTTTGATATAAACCTTTTGTAAAAAAGATATGTTTTAGCACCCAGCCCAGTGCCTCCCACAGAGCAGGTACTCTGTAAATTGTAACCTTGCAAGAATCAAGCCCTTTTTCTCAGTTCAGAAACAAGTAGATAAAACAAGTAGAAATGCTTATAAATTAAGGTTTTGGGCTTACAAGTGGCAGAATTTAGGCAGCTAAAAAAGCACACCTTTTTATTCTTTTTCACACTATCCCCTTTTAAAAGATGCCTAGGCTCTATACTAGAACTATTACAGGTCTCGATTTGAAATTTAAGAATGAATACAAATCAGGCTGAAACATTAGTGGATTCCATCCCAGCAGGAAACCAGACCTCTGAGTCTGCAGGGCCGCCATTCCTGTCATCTTCTATATGCCTGTCTCTGCGTGTGTGTGTCCTCAGTATTCACGTTGGAGACGGGTTTACACGAAGTCTGGAATAACTTGATCTGGGACCCACTCCATTTTCACTCAGACGGCCTTGTCTCCACCCCAACACGCACCTGCTTCAGGAGGGCTCCTGCTTTCTCGGGGGAAGTCATTGTTGCGCCACAGGAAACGGCGGGTCTGAACCAAGGTTACGGCTTCATTTCACTTCTGCTCTTCAGAGGAATTTTAATATAGTGGGAAGCAGAAGTATGGCGTTGGAGCTTTTCCTTGCCTATGCTAGCCGAGAGCTCTGGAAAGTGGGAAAGCCGGGCAACGTCGGCACGAGGCAGAGAACCCGTGGCCTGGGGCGGCGCGAGGCCCCAACGCTGGACACGCTCTGCGCGCGCAGCGGCGGAACGCGCTTCCCGCGCTCTCGCGCTTGCGAGGGGGAGGGCGGAAGTGCCGGACCGGGGAGGGCGGAAGTGCCGGACCGGGGAGGGGTCAGCTTCTGGCGTCGGGGTCTTTACCACCGCCTGTGGGCTATGGCGGCGGTCGTCCGGCAGGTGAGGTCGCGCCAGGTACCGGGGGTCCCCGGGGACGTGGACGAGCGGCAGCCGTCGGGGTGTGTGACGGCAGGCCGTGGCACCTCGCAGCCGGAGCCTTCCCGTGAGGCCGGGGCACGCCGGCCTGGGGCCGCCCTGGACCCGCGGCGCTCTCTGCTCCATCAGTGCGCCGTGAGCGCAGCTTCCCGCGCCCCGCGCTGGGCCGGACCTGGGGGTGAATCCGGCGGACGGAGCAGCTGGACCACCCACAGGGCGAGCGGGGGAAGCTGGGGAGCAGCGAGCGCGTGGGTTTGACTGACGGACGGGGGTGCGACGGTACCTAACGCTGGAGGGGCTTTGGGACGGGTTGGGAAGCGAGTGAGTGTCTGGGTGATCTGTGCTTGTTTGGTTACGCGCTTGCCTGAACGGCTGAAGAGTTTTGACGTAAACGGGAATTCTCTATACAAGTTGGCTGACAGGCTAATTATATCCAATAGGATTCTTCTTGTGGAATAAATTTAGGTACGTGAATCTGGAGACTAGTATGAGGTCCAGATGTTTCAGGTGTGGATACCAACCCGGACCCCCAGAGTTGGCGTGAGGATTATTTTAAACTAAAGATGTTTGAGATTCAGCAGATAGAGAAAGAAGCTTTCTCGGAGCTTCCCTTACCTCCCTAAAAACAGAAACTTCTGGGAATGAGGCTGCCATGGACCCCTCTCCTGGGGAGTTTTGTAGCCTTAAAGAAAAAAGACTGCTCGGACCTGCACAGGCAAACATTATCACAGACGTTATCTCTCTTTTTTTCTTTAGAAACCCATTTGTTCTTCCTGTAGAAGCTTTTTCTACCCCTCTGTCTCCCCTATTAAATTAGCCCCTAACGTTAGTGATTTAAGGAGCTACTTCTTTTGTGAGCTGACATATGTATATGAATAAACTTTGTTTTTTCCCCTCATGTTAATCTGTGTATTGTCAGTTAAATTTGCAGGCCCCCCAGGCACTCACCCTTAGAGGGTAGAGGAAAATGTTGTCTCCTCAGGTAGGCAGATTTTATCAGGTGGCCTTAAACTAGTTCTGCCTTGTCCCTGCCTACCTCTGTCCCCTCAATTGTAGCAGCAAAAGCTCATGGAGACTTGTTTGACTCTCTGACCTCTATGTTCTTGCAACACTCTTTTCTCTATATGTGAACTTCCTTCTCTGTAGGCTAAGTTCGGATAAGATTTTGCAGATTGCTTATAAAAACTGTTACGTTTGTGTGGGACCAAGGCACTCAATACCCTGGTTCAAAAATCCTGTGGTGTCTGTTACATTGGGGTGGTGAGGAAATGATTCCCTTTTGGTCCTGTGTCTTATAGGTCTTTGACCGGCACTGCCTGATCCCCCTCATCTGGGCCCGTGTTGCTAGGCAGACTCCTCATGTTGGAGAACAGAAAACGACGACTGCTGCTTTGTTGCGTAAACTGACCACAGCCTCCAGTGGAGGGGGCCTTGAGGACTTATCCTGTTTTGAACCCAAAAAGTATGTGCAGGAACCAGAGTACAGGACAAATCTTACTCACTGCCTCCTTGAGAAGCAGAGGACTCCTGTGGATCAAGGGTCCTTGGAGCGAGAGAAGGTCATCAGTTCCCTCCTGGACATGGGTTTCAGTGATGTCCATATTAATGAATTGCTCAGTATACAACCAGGTACCCACCCTCAACAGTTGTTGGACATTATTTCAGAATTAATACTCTTGGGTTTGAATCCAGAGCCTGTGTATGTGGCCTTGAAGAAAAGTCCTCAATTATTGAAAGTGCCTGTAATGCACATGAAGAAGCGCTCCAGTTACCTGCGAAAGCTTGGGCTTGAAGAAGGTACAAAAAGGCGCAGGTTTTATACATAGTGCTGAGAGGAGTCAGAGTTGGGGAACGAATAGTCTAGGTGAGATGGATTCGGGAAAGTTTCTGGAGAAAAGGCCTTGAGAGGAATGCGTGATTTGGCTTGGAGGTGAGGAAGAGGAGTGACCTCTGCAGAGGGCATTGCAGGAGGGAAAGGGGAGGGTTGGGACTAGAAGAGAGAATTGGAAGGGACTCCTGTCTAGTTTGTTCACTGTGGGGGCTCTAGCATGTAGAACAGTGGTGGGCACCTAGTGTGTGCTCAACAGATAGATGTCAATATGTGATGTTGATATACGTGTATATTACAAAGTTCCTGGTAAAGGCTTGGATTCCAGGTAGCTTGCCTTGATTTACTGTGGAACATGAGCTCTTCCCAGGTTCCTGGGAAACTGGTGGTGTGGCTGTTCCCTCCAGCCACCACCCTCACCTCCAGTAGGATTCGTACCTCAAGGATCCTGGAAGTTCGTTGGATCTCTTTAAGGGCTTTCTGGAATAGGGGCTGGGGGCCCATGTGGTTCTCCAAGAACTGGTACCCACTTTGACCCGAGGAGTTTTATTATTATTTTTTTCATTCTTGACTCTTACTGGTAAGATTGTTGGGGAGAAGAAAAGGTTTGTGGATCCACTATTTCAGAGGATCTATAGGCCGCCTTCTCCAGCAGATAAGCAAAAAGATAGCCTTGGGTGTTTCTCTTAACAGGTTCCCTGTTGCAGTATAATCTGAGAGGCTAAACTTAATACTTATGTGCATGATTATTAATTAGCAAGCTCAGCACAGCCTTAAGAGGCAGAGATGTAGTCTAAACTCCTGAAATTCATTCCTGACATATTTAGCAAGACAGTGACTAACTCAGCTGTTAGGAAGACTTATATTAATAGTTTAAGTAATTTTAAGTTTCCAGTTACTAAATTTTGTCCAGCTGTCCATAGGAAGACCATATGCTTCATTTTGCCTGGGATAGTCTCAGTTTGTACCAGTTATCCTAATGCAAGTGTTAATAGAGCCTCTTTCACTAAAGTGCCCTAGTTTGTATAAAATATATGGTCACCCCACCAACTAGGACATCAGTATTTGTGGTTGTGCATCAAGATTATTCTTGTTGTTATTATTACATTAATTATTATCAGGGAACTCCTTTTCATTGAGTTCAGACTCTCAGGTCTTAAGAATGTTGGTTGTGAAGGCTTCTGTAACTGTTTTATTATGGAAGGAAACATAACCCAAAGCTCCAACGTATCCCATCTTACTGTCTGAGCTTTCCAGGAAGTCCCTGTGAAGTTCTTTTCTGGGTGAGGAGGGCCAGAGGAGGAGACCTAGAATATGAAGTAGGTGCCTTTCAGCCAGAACGAGGCCTCCTCTTTATTCCAGGGAGGGAGGGAGGGCCATTGAGTCTGAGAAGTGGGAGGGAGTCAGTGGGGAGGTGTGTCAGTCTGGCCCCTCCCGTTTCCATGGCACCTCTGGGAAGACCTGTGCTGACCTGAATTGGGTGAGGCCAGCCCCTTGGGTTTCTGGAATATCCTGAACTTATGCACTTGGCCTTTTTTATGTTTTGCAGGGAAACTAAAGAGGGTACTTCACTGTTGCCCTGAAATTTTCATCATGCGTCAGCGGGACATTGACAGCGTTGTCAGGGTTCTCAAGGAGAAGTGCCTTTTCACAGTGCAGCAGGTAACGGAGATTTTACACAGATGCCCCTATGTTCTTCGGGAGGATCCCGGTGCACTGGAGTACAAATTCCAGGTGAGAAGGACTGACAGTGACTGGGCGGTAACAGCAGGTTTCTCGAGTGTGGTAAGGGTCAGCTGTATGGACAGGAAGCCTTGGGCCCCAGGGGCAAGTGGACGAGGTGAAAGGCTGCTGTCCTCTTCACACGCACCAGCCAGAGAGAATTGGGTTTCACTTCTTTGCTGCAGATAAAATCTGTTCTAAACCATTAATAGTGGATGACCCAGCCCCGTTCTTAGAGTCCAAATGGGGCCTGTTTGAAACAGCCAATTAAAAATAGCTAAAACCTTTCTATCTTTAGAACCTATTTTGCATGTTGATTTAAGGAATATAATTGTGACAGTTGTCCTGATTTTTGTTAACAATTATGATGACTTACGTCACATCCCTAGCTGTTTTCTGAATTTTTTGCCTATTTTTACCATACTCATAGTTTTCCTTCCCCCGTCTGAAGAAAAATAGAACTTAATTTCTCCTTCCTGCCCCTTCATTTTCTGCTGCATTTTTTTCCATATGAATTTGAAAATGCTTTGAAAACTGTTAGCCATCTTACAGATGTCGGGTATCATGGATATTCTGCTGTGGTTTGTCAGGCAGTTCTTTCTGAATGCTCTTGGACAACCTGAGTGTAGTATGGATTGTGGAACAACAGGTTTGAGGGTTCTACACCTGAGATTCCTAACTGTGTCTGTGTCCAGTATGCCTATTTTAGGATGGGGGTTAAACATCTGGACGTGGTGAGGACCGACTTCCTGCAGTACCCCATAACCAAGACTAAGCAGAGACACACGTTCCTCGAGCGCCTAGGACGGTACCAGACCCCTGATAAGAAGGGGCAGACGCAGGTCCCCAACCCTTTACTCAAGGACATTCTCAGAGTTTCAGAAGCTGAGTTTCTGGCCAGGACAGCCTGTTCTTCTGCTGAGGAGTTTGAAGTTTTTAAGAAGCTCTTGGCTCGGGAGGAGGAAGAGGAGTCTGAGAGCCGCATGCCTGATGGAGAGAGTGCAAGTGTGGACAAGGAGGAGGAGGAGGATGAAGAGGAGGAGGAGGAGGATGAACTGTGATGGGAGGACTGGAGTGAAAAGAGCCCAGAGATATCAGAGTATTTTGATTTTCTCAAGGCTTTTGGGAGCTTCACTTGGGTCTTCTCAGGTTTTCATTCTAGAAATGGTCTTTTTTTTTGGTGAGGAAGATTAGTCCTGAGCTGACATCTGTGCCAATCCTCCTCTTTTTGCTGAGGAAGTTTGGCCCTGGGCTAACAACCGTGGCCGTCTTCCTCTACTTTATATGTGAGATGCCTGCCACAGCATGGCTTGACAAGCGGTGTGTCCTTCTGCGCCCGGGATCCCAACCTGTGAAGCTTCGGCTGCGGAAGCAGAGCGTGCCAACTTAACCACTACACCACTGGGCCAGCCCCTAGAACTGGTCTTTTGATGAAAAAATTATTATAAATCACCTGAGAAGTAGACAGGTCAAACTAAACAGGAGATGCGTTAGTTTGATTTGTCGTCAGGTCTGTGGGGAGGGCACTGTTCCATCCTGAATAATAGACTGACTTTGAGCGGTAAAAATCAAGGACTCAATACATCATTTGGTTTTACTTTTTCTGTGTCATATATATAGGTGATAATTCCATGACAGTGTAGAGGACCAGATTCCTTCTGGTTTGAGAGTCATTTTATATTTCCTTCTAGTGACAAAAATTATGAGAAGGCAGTGAGGTGTAGGACATCACAGCACTTTATTTTATGAAAACAAGTAGCAGGTTTTCCACAAAAATACTCATGTTTTTAACCCAAAAATATCTTATTGCTTCATAGCTGCATTCAGTGTCCAGCACAGTAAAAGGGAGTTAATTAGTGAAGTATGGTTTTTAATGCCAGCAAAGCATTGGGGCACTTGCCTCTATCTTTGTGAAGAACAGGCCCTGGCTTTGACTTCTCACGGAAGTTCACTTTCATGCCAGCTCATGGCCAGTGAGTCACATCCAGGCCTGAAGCCTCTGGCAGCCATAGAGTGGTGACCTGGAATGTGCCAGAACAGGAAGGGACCATGGAGGGTCCTATCCAGTCATGTCTCCCACCCATTTTACAGATGGGATTTCTGAGACCAGAGGAGAAAAACCTACACAGGGTCATAGAGCAGGGTGGGGCCTGCTGCCAGGGCCACAGGTCTGGTCTTGGTTTCTTTTTTTTTTTTTGCTGAGGAGGATTAGCCCTGAGCTAACATCTGCCGCTAATCTTCCTCTTTTTACTCTTTTTGTGTGTGAGCTGCTGCCACAGCATGGCCGCTGACAGACAGGTGGTGTAGGTCTGTGCCCGGGAACTGAACCTGGGCTGCCGAAGTGGAGTGTGCCAAACTTAACCACTAGGTCATCGAGGCTGGCCCTCTGGTCTTGGTTTCATTCCAGTGAGCTTTCTATGACACCAAAGGTGGTGGAAGTCCCCTTGGGGAACCTAGGGGGTCTGAGGAGTGATTTGAAGAGTTGGGGTCAGGGAATGGAATATGTGAGTGGGGGGTCATCTCTGAGGTAGAGGCCCAGCCTTGATGGTGTGAGCCCTATGAGAGGCTGGAGGATTGGTGCATCGTAGAACATTCTGGGTATCTCTTCCTTGGGGGAACTGGCACAGGAATGCTGCTGCAGAAAACATTTTTGGTGATGTGACCAAAATTCAGGTCTCTGGCACCATTTTACCAGCTATGTGAGACTGGATGCTTGGCTGTGGTTTTCCCGCACAGACTGTCTAAGAATGTGGTCAGGCAGCGGTTCTTGCCTGGGGGCAATCTCGATCCCAGAGAACATCTAGCAACATCTGGGGATGTTTTTGGTGGTTAGGACCACGAGAGGGTTCTACTGGGATCTGGTGGTTGAGGCCAGGGATGCTGTTAAAGATCCTGCAGTGCACAGGACAGCCCCACAGCAGGATGAGCCAGCCCAGAATGTCAGCAGTGCTGAGGCTAAGAAACTGCTCTAAGTCTTGGTTCAGCAAAACACAACTGTATGGATGCATGAGAGCCTCAGATTTTAAGTGGGCTTACATTGATTGTATTTCTTGTATTTAAAAGAAAAGTGGCTGATTTTTAAAGATAGTTCTTTAACCCTGTGCATTGGAATACCATTGATAGATCTGAGCTGTATTTTATTGTGGGGATTCAGCCTTGAGGTGTAGATACTTTTGCTTTCTCCAGGCTCATATTTGAGCATGACTGCAAAGAGAAAGACACTTTTTGTAAAAGAAAAGTAGCTCAGTGAATCCCTCCACAATTGAGTTGGACATCGGTGGCAGTAGTTTGCCAGTGGGAGGAGTTCCAGCTAAGGGAAGGTGCTGGAGGCTGGCTGTGGCTGGGTGGAGCCCTTGTCTGTTGGGTTCGCTGGTGGGAGAACAGTGGGGTGCAGCGTAGGTTTTCTCGTTTGCGTCTGGGACAGCCCACACACAGTGGGGAAAAGGGATATTTTGTCATCACTGTCTCTCTTGGCCTGGGCAAAAGTATTTGAAAATGAAGACATTTCACTCCGTGCCAGTATTTTCACTTTTCCATTTTGTGGTGTCCAAGTGACCAGCACTTTTCCTGGAACCTAGGATGTTGTTTGTGCCCAGTTGGGGGACTAAGGAGAATCCTGAATCTGTGCTTCATTAGGTGATCAGTTCATCCAAGTTTTGATGAGCAAAAGGCTAACTCAGCAACTCACGGTTGCTCCTTCCATTTTGACATAGAAATAAGTGTTTCTCCCCCTGACAGTTTTCTGATTCTATCATTAATAATTTCCTTGGGTGGACTTTGAGTATTTTCGAGGAAGACATCAGAGTTTTAAGAAGGAGCCATGTGAGAAAAGCAGTGGCTCATTGGAATGTTTCAAGGAATTGTAATTCCTTTAGCATCAAGCACTCTGTTTACTAGGTATTTAATCTGTAAAACATCACAATGGCTTAATCATAAGACAACACAGCACCAAGCTCAGGATTCAGTAGACTGTTTCTGTAGAAACAAAGGCTTCTAGGCTAAAAACTGGAACACATTTGCCTCCTGGCTGAGGGCTTGAGGTTATTAACACGGTAGTAGAAAGTTTTATCGACTTTTCCAGTGATATCACTTGATCTTGCCGTTTGCTGGTGTTGCTGTAGCTTACACACACGCACAGTGACAGGTCCCAGTGCGTAGCAGAAGTCAGCAGTACATGTTCCTGTCCGTGGATTTCTCAATTCACCCAGCATTGGAGCCCCTTGACTGAGCTCTGCCATCTTCTCCAGCTGGGCCTTGGAGACTGGGGGTGTTCTGGAGTACAGTAGAGACTTCCTGAAATGACGCTTCCTCCTTCCTGAAATTGATAAATTGCATAATACACAGACATATGCACACAAAGTTTTAATAAAAATAAAAAGCCTAAAATATACTCCTAACTCTTCAAAAAATGTTTTTATAAAAGATGAAAGGAAGGAGCCTTCTCTGTGGCTATAATGCTGACTCGGAGTGGAGTCGGTGGAAGATGCACAGGGGCTTGAGTTCCAGTTTGGATCAGCTGTTAAAATGCTCAGCACGCTATGAGCTGGGGTTGGCTGCTTTGGTTTTAACCTCATTTGCAGGGAGAGGATAGAGCTGCTGGAAAGTGGATGTGGCATGATGATGCTGTGTTCTGCTTGTAAAGATGGAAACTTGTGGAAGATTGTGCTTACTACCTGATAGCCTAAAACAGTTGTTACTTGAGTTGTGGAGTAAAAGAAATCCTAAACGTTATCTAGTATAGCCCGCCCCAGGTATCCATTTTCATTGCATCCAGACTTGTAAGGAGGAGCCCTTGCTGCACTTGGTGGAAATGCTGCCTCTGCTTTCCGAGCTGGGTTTGTGCAGCGCTTGCGTGAAACTCTGGGGTCCTTGGTGTGACTTGTCTTCCAGGGAATGGCTTTCTCTGCATAAGGCCAAAACCTAGGTGACCTCATAGACCAGGGCTTAGCCAAGTATGGCCCATGAGACTTGTGTCTTCCCCCCAACCGTTTTTGTAAATAAAGTTTTATTGGAACATAGCCACACCTGTGCAGTCACATGTCTGTGGCTGTGTTTGCGCTAGGACCACAGAGCTGAGTAGTTGCCATAGAGTCCATCTAGTCCACAAAGCCAAAGGTATTTACTGTCTGACCCTTTACAGAAAAAGGCATAGACTAAAAGTGTATAAACTGCATCTTAGTATTAATTAACGTTTTCTCTTTCAAAATCTACTGATCCATATGATGGATCACTAGCCTGCAACGTATAGCATAAATAATCTGCTGGTGGAGGAGAGCTGGGTGAAGCTGCACCTACAACTTGGCTTTCTTGTCAGTGTCACCTCGTTTCTGCCCCTTCTTCCAGCTCCACTGTTTCTGCTTTGGAAGCTGTTGATAGCAGTTCCTCCTTGACTTGATTGTTAGGTCTCAAGGGAGAATTCTTTCTCTGACTTTGGACACTGAGAACTGGTTTCTGAATGTTGCAGAAGTGTTACTGGCTGCCAGCCTTGCAAATCCAGGGCTGACGCGCAGGCTGCGGTTGCTCATTCACAGTGGCCCAGTGGCCCCACAGCCCCGCAGCCCCGCGGCCCCATGGCCCCTTTAGGAAACCGCAGCCTGGGTTACAGCATAGGTGTTAAGTGCATCGCAGGAGTTGGAGGTGATTGGTCTGGAGGAGTCTCCCTGGCTGTGGCCGGGCAGGGAGGTGGGCTGGTGTGTGCCTGGTCTGGCCGTCTGTCTTCTAGAGGCCGGAGGAGAGAAGTTGCAGAGGGGACTGACTGTAGCCAGGACCTTGTCTCTCGGGGTGTCCTTTTCAATCCAGTTTTAGACGTCGTCTTCCTGGGCTTTTGAAACACATGAGGTTGATGGAGTGTAACAAGAACATCTCGAATCCTTTGAAGAAAAAGCAAAGTGGGGTATGAGGAAGATGATACTCATTCCTCTGAAACGGCGGCTCCCGTTTCTCTTAGTGGTCCTCAGATTGCTGCCACATCATGACCCCATGTTTCTGCTGCATCAGGTCTGTGAGGCTTGCTCCCTCTGACACGGCAGCAGATGGGGCCAGGCTTGTTGAGGAGGACAGACTAAATCCCCCAGAGTTAGGGACGTTTGGGCAGCATCGCAGCTTTTACATTT